CACCTCCATAACCCTGAAATTCAAAATGCTCTGGATTCCAAACGAAGCACGTTATTGAGCTGTAAAATTGTAAACAGATATAAATATACCGCCTCTTATTCCTGATGAGGATAAAAACTTTGGTGGCTCTTTAGTTTTGGATTTTAGAAAGTGATGACGTCACGTGAAAACGATCTATACTGAGACCCTATAGGCAAGGGAAGGAGCAATACAAGTCAGACCTTCCATGGGAGGGGTGGGACACAAGAACTGAGTAGCCTATAAAGGTGGTGAAGACTTCAAAAAGCGAGAGACCTATAAAAAGAGGGAAGGAGGGAATGGGCACAGTAACTGAGACCTTGTAAGGGAGGGGAGGGAAACATCAAACATTAAAGCAGACCGTCCTTGAAAAGGAAGGTAAAGTAATAAACCAAGAACTACAATCCTGAAAAGCAGGTTAAGTACTGGAAGGAAGAAACCTGACATTTGAGACTGCAGGGAAGGGAAGCCAAGTGCAGCAACTGAGAGCAGTTCGAAAACCTGCAACATATTGCCGCGTGGCAGAATGTTCCGTCTTAACATGAACAACACGCAGCAATTGATAGACCCAGTTAGGGAGATGGCACAAAACAGCTCGTGCAGAAAACGCTACTTTTAACTTTCAGTATTGCTGATAGACTTTCTAAAAGTCCTTTCCAATAATTCTTTCCTGGCCTGTTGGTTTCGTTGCTGTTTCGTCGCTCGCGCTCGCCCTCGCGACTTCGTCGCTCGAAGATTACGCTCTTGCTTCGCTCGAGGGCGATAATTTATAAGTCAAGGATTAAGAAAAGGCCGACTTGTGGCAAGTCTATATTGTTGAGAGCATTTTATTTTTTAGGATCGACGTTTTGAGTTTACTTACATCGGTCTTTTGATGTGATCCAACAAGATTTCATTCTTGTTCTTTAAAATATAAACGAAAAAGTATGACCTTGAGTATTCTGCATTCAATTGCTTTCCCGGAAATTCTCAGAAGTTGAGTCTGAACGCGAAATTGAAATCTATCAGGAAACAGTGTTCTCGAGTCTTCACTTCGGGAAAAGATAAGGTTTTTACTCAACTGAATTAACATGCTTTTCTTTTAAAGGTGGACTGTTTATTTTCTCTATCCGTGCGGACTCCTTCGATCCAGTAGAGCTTGGTTACAGCCCCAAGTTTGAGGAGCTAGAGAGATCAGGAAAATGGAGTCTTGTGAACAGAGAACGACGTGAGCTGTACACTAACCCTGTTTTTGAACGCTATAGAGACTGTTATTTGATCACTTACAAAGTGCTCAAAAACTGAACAAGATGGGTCAAAGAGCTCAAAAATGTTAATTATAGTGTTTCTGATGTCATGTGGCAGTGGTCAGTACCTATGAAGTAAAAAAATAATTACTACCTATTTGAAAGGCTTTTCAGATTGAAGAAATCTGATGTTTTCCTTTTTGGAATATCTTCTTTCGTTTTAGAGATATTAAGTACGTTTTTGTATTATGCAAATGAGGAAAGTGACGACGTCATAAATTGTTCCACTAAAACACTAAAATACTGAATCAAGAATGTCTCTAGAAATATTACAGCAGTATTCTTTAAACACGTACATCACAAAAGAAACAAAATGTATAAACAAAACGTAAATATCTCTAAAAAGAAAGAAGATATTCCAAAGAGGAAAACGCCATTCGTTTTTTTTGAAAAGCCTTTCAAATAAGCAGCAATTCATACTTTTAAATTGTTATATATCGATATTTTTTACAGCAATCAAATAAAAAGAACAGTCAAAACACAAAACGTTGAGTTTGAGCGGTGTCATGTGAGGATAATCAGTGACTAATGAAGCGACAAAATGGGCAGAGGTGACATATGTTATTGTGGACATGATAACAGCTTAAAAGAAACTTTGCGTCGAAACTGGCGCTTCCAGTACCCAAGCAAGCTAGGATAGAAAACAGCTTGTAGCCCTTTTGGATCCTCCCGGTTGTCTACTTTTGGGTGAGGAACGCGCTCTCCATTCCGTAACATAAAACTTGCAAAACTTGCATCCGCAGTGGATACGCCCTTGTCATCCTCCTCGGTCGACTGTATCAGGAGTTTGATCATTCGTTTGGTATCAAACAGAACACCCTCTCACTATTAAAGATAACACATAGATTTAGCCAAGCCTAAAAGGGGAGCTCATGATTGCAATAAGTTAACCTGGCTTGAGCCTGCAATCCAATGGAAAGCTAAGCAGCGGTCAACATTAAAGAAACACGACCTCTATCAGCTCTAAACTTGAGCCTGTGTTATGGTCACGTTATACTGGTCAGCAAGATACTATGTTTTGACAGGTGTCGGTTGACCTTAACATGGATGTACGCTGTAAACCAAGACTGCATGTCTCTGTCAACCTATTAACCGGAGTATGACCGCCATCTTGCACGAATTTGTCGTGCATACGCGCCTACCAGCAATTATGTACAGGTATTTGGCCTTCACTATATGTATACAGCTGAACACAATCAAAGGTTATGAGGCATGGGTGCATTTGGTCAGCCGAGCCGAGATATGTTTTAATAGCGAAGCGCACGAGTAACATTATAACTTAATAAACAAAACGGAATGGTGGAAGATTTGAAGCTTTTTCAAGCGCGTAAACAAGTATTCCTAAAGCAATTTGTAAAACGAAAATTTGGCGCTCATTTTCCTCCTATTTCTCTCAGAACACGCTTATGTTGTCCGTCTACTGGGTTCCAATAATTTACATTCTATTTTTAGACTTCGCGCGCTTCGCTTATTGACACATCATTGAGACTTATTACACTAACTGTCCAATTTCTCGCGCGCTGATTGGCTCATTTTTATCACCAATAAGAGTACAGACGGATAAAATTTTAGTTTATGCAGGCTATCAAGTTCAACTTTCAGCTGTGAAACTGCATGTCAACTTTTTAACCAAAGAGATTTTATTGACTTTTTTAAGTAGCCAATCAAAAAGCGAGAAAGGCTATTGACAATGTTTGCGTCATTTTGAATAAAGTTCACTTATCTTTCTTTACGGCAGGTTTACGGCGTCTTTCCCCCCTCATGTATTCCGGGCATTTGACCATTTTTATAAAAAACAAATTGATGCGGCTCGTCGTTCCACAGCCACTTTGACAATGTTATGACGCAATTTATCATCAATAAGAAGACAGAAGCATTAAAAAACTGACGTAAATTTGTTAATTTTACAATAACTGCAGAAATTCTCGCACGCTCATTGGCTATGGGAAAAGGTGACAATTAGGCAAACAAAAATTCACGCAAGAGAGGACGAGGAAACATAAACTTGCCTAAAGAAAGCACATCAACGAAGATATGTCCTCGCCCTTGCCTTCCCTGCAATACAACGGCGACCGACGCTAAAACTGGGTGTGTCATTTTACACCTCTTAATTTATATAGCGGCATTAAAATTCGTTTCAGCCATGAGAAATATGTTTTGCACAAAAGGAATGCGTTACACGTTGCGATTGTGTGCTTTGAATATATAACCAGTTTGGAACCTGAAACCTGAGACCTGAAAATAATTTTATTCGGCTTTATTGCCGAGAGGGAATCACTTAAATACCGGTATCATACTATTATGTACGTCCGTTCCCTCCCTTCCCCTCTCCCACTTGTTAACTCGCCTTAGTTCTCCTCGTGTGTTCATTTATAAACCGCGCGGCCAAGGGCGAACGAGAAGCGTTCTTTTTGTCGCCTAGCTATTTCCGGCGGAGGTGGAAAGAAAATTTTTCAAAGAGCTGGTTTTTGAGCTTCTTGAGTTGTAACTTTTTGACGAGGTTGTTGTAAAGAGGCGGGAAATGTGTAGGGGAATAACAAAATAACCCGTTGTGGTAAGTTGGTTTTTACATCAATTTTTCTTTCGTGTTTAAACTTTTCACAAATGATGTCATTTCGCCTATTGATCGTTTTCACTGTCACGCAATAAAAAAATAAATCGAAAACCATCCAGTGGAAAAAGCTATGAACTTACGATGTTATAGAAGATAACTAAATAAGACACTTCTCCAAGTTTTAGTTCTGTGCGTTTCCCCAAACTTCAGATATTCGTCGAAATGTTTCGCAGATATTTGCAGAGCCCAGTATGAAAACGCCATGTTGGTGTACCTCCGTGGTACNCATTTACATAAGCACTTTTCATAATGCTCTAACTTCTAAAAAGGCTCAAAATCATGAGATAAGTATATATTTTTCGACAAACTCGATCGTAGTCTTCTGTCACGCACCTCCATAACCCTGAAATTCAAAATGCTCTGGATTCCAAACGAAGCAAGCTATTGAGCTGTAAAATTGTAAACAGATATAAATTTACCGCCTCTTATGCCTGATGAGGATAAAAACTTTGGTGGCTCTTTAGTTTTGGATTTTCGAAAGTGATGACGTCACGTGAAAACGATCTATTATTTCCCACGAGAAACATAGGTCGCCGCTGCCCTTCACTGGCGTTCACCTTTGGTGCAAATGAAGTCAGCACCGGTTACCTTGCGATCACTTGAATGTGAACGGTTTGCCGCTTTAAATTTTCATTTGTATGAAGTAAAATTCTGTTAACAGAAATTCATGCACAAAAATGCAAAAGCCTCAACCCGAGGATGAAAATTTCGTGGAATCCTCAAGAAGTCTCCTGCACAACGCGGACCAAGAATTCGTCGAGGACAAACAAACAGGGGCAGACATGGAATTTGTGCAGACGTATTACAGCCCGAGAGGTGTTTTGCTGCTGTATTTTCGGGGGGACGCTGCGGCAGAAGTGGACAAGCATTTTAACAGGACTTTTACGGAGTTGTGTTGTTTGCCCGGCTCAGGTGCATTGGACAACAGCATGCAGGAGAGCTCACATTGGCAAGGTGTGTACAACAGTAACAATTTGGGATCGTCATCACGCCCTTTTCCACAGAAGAAATAAAAACTGTCGCGCGTAGATTATTACAACAAACTAGGACACGTCTGCGGTAAAATTTATTTAATCAAATAATTAATGATATTTCTTGTGAATCGTACAGGCAGTTGCCCTTTTGATACACTAACCCAGTTCGTTTACTTTTTATTTTGTCATACTGCATGTAGCGGCGCAATAATGGCAACTTGCTACATTTTCAGAAAGGTTTGTCAAATTCTTTGAGCAAATAAACCAGAAATTGCACCTTACAATCGGAAATCAAATGGGTTCTGTCCTCGTGTACCGGTTCACAAGAACCGATACAAAAGACCTAACAATGTTCAACAGCTAAACAAAGGTTCGTAAAGAAAGGAGTACAATGGTTATTCCCTCTGTGTGCCGGTACACCAGGACACAACCATCAAATGTAAATTGATTTGATTTCACACTTTAGTGACAGCAATCCTAATTTGCGTCGATTTCATGTACATTCACTATACATTCCTTTCTTCTGCTTGGTTGGGTCGTACAGTGGCAGCTCTTGTAAAATTCGTCTGAATTATGAACTTCCAGATTTTCTAGCCCAAAATCAGCTTTGAAATATGTAAAATCTGGATCATGCACGTAAAATAATACATTCGCGCCTGAAATCGAATTAGTAGGTGGATTTTCTTGTTGCCCTTGTTTTTACCATGTAAAATAATTCCTACGTTTTGAAACTTGTGTGACATATGCTGAGGCATGTTTGGTGGCGATGATATGACAAACGGAAAAGAAAGGAAGAAACGGAAAAAAACCCTCGTGCAGGGCGTGCTGGATCGTGACATGACTGGTAATAGAACTGTCGGGAGTGAATAAATGGACTTTTTCTACCGATGTCACGGAATATCAACACGTTTTCGTATTTTTCAAATAGGCAAACAACCACCTCCATGGTTCAATTTATCATGCCGAATTAAATAATTCTACGAATCTACGAGATTTTACAGATCCATTGCAAAATCATAACAACGGATTGGACCCCAAACTTACAAGGAAATGCATCCCAGGGGGCAAGCGTCGCCCCCTGGGATACATTTTCTTGTAAAAATTGGCAAGTAAGGGCCAAATTGGCTTCACGATAAATCGAACGGTGCATGATTTATTTTTTTGTTAGAATAAATAAATAAAAGGTAAAAAATTCCATTTCATCGGACAACAAGAATCCCTTTTCACTTTCGCTTGTACATTGTTTTTAGGCGGGACAAACGCTATCGCAGATTAAAAACTCCTAAAGTCAATGCATATATTATTTCCTGTTAATTGTTTGTTTGGTTTGCTTATGTATTTTTTGTTGTTTAGTTATTTATTTTTTTAAGTTATTTAATTAATTATTACTCAGGAAAACCAAGCCGTCCCATGTCTCAAAGGAACCTTCCAGCCTCATTTTGGAACCCGTCACAAACGGACCAATCCCAACACCTGCAAGGAACCTTCCATCACAGTGGCAAGCCAATAGATATGTTCCAACAAAACTATAACACAATAACCCATTATAACAGAAGCTGTCATTCAACTGGTCACCATGGAAACGACGATCAAAACGGGCCAAGTTTCGTTCGCAGGAGAGCTATCCCAGTCTCTTATGCACAGCTACCAACGGGGGTGGTGAAAAGTTTCTCCCCAGGGCTCGCGCCGCAAGTGTCTGCACAGCCCTGTCGCGAACCCGCGTCTTCGTTTTTGCAAGAGGCTGCTGTGCAGAGCAACGATTTGCAGCCGTCTTCCTTGAGGTTCAACCCTCGCTACAATTCTCTTCTAGTTCAACCAGACGTGAAGCCTCATTTGCCGGTTGTCCCTGGAGAACCAACGCCCACACAGATTGAAGAAAGGGGAAAGGACCTCGAGGAATTCCCATGTGAACTACTAATGAGAAAAGGAGAACATTAACAAAAAAAAAAGGTCGAAGTAGTTGCATGTACGTTTTGACACGAGAGAAGTTAACAATAATTTGGGACAAACCAACGGTCAAGCGCTCCGCATGTTTGTAGTTAATGTATCTAGAAATGTCTAGCTTTAAAAGAGACATTCAGTAAGCTAAGTGTTGCCTAATAAAAGTATGTATCTTTTTTTTGTGTGAACTTCTATAAACCGACCCGGCCCCTTTCTTCAAAAAGATCAGTCGTTTAGTGCACGCTGAGATCCTGAATAAAAGCAAAACGCTGCTGTGTTGCAGCGGATTGAGAAAACAACATTACAACCATGAAGAGAAATTGTGACGGAGTAACTTCAATCTTGGAGACTCCGTGCGGGCCGCGATGAAGTAAAAACCCGCCGAACGCGTCACGAAAATTTTCGTTGCGTCAGTGGCTGGCACCTGCGTTATAATTTTTGGTGCATTTCTTTGCCATCCTCTGCAAATCGACCGCGTGAAATGACCAAATTCTACGTTGTGTGGAGAGCGTAAACCACGACGGCTAATCTCAAGTTTTAAATTTCTTTCTCAAATTTATCGCTGTGACCTAGATTCAGTTTCGTGATAGTTTTGACGGTGATAAAAAATTAACGTAAATGACTTTAGAGTATTGCGCAGACTCGTTGTCCTCGGCGTGGGCTAGATCTGAAATGCGTAGTGAAATTTGGAAAATAAAATACTGATATCCATGTTTAGAATTCTTTTCAAGGAAATTTCAGTTATTGTTTTATTTGATTTTCTGCCGTATGCCCTAAATTTTTAAGTATATCTATTTTAAGAATGGAACGTTTAATGAGCGGAACTGAGTGCTATTCTGCATACGAGTTCAGAGAACTTGGCTATCTGAACAGTTCATGTCTTAAAAAAAGTATTATTTTAATGTTTTAGAGTTTCTCGAGGTATAAATTCACGCTTTTGTAGCGAAACTCAGTGACAGATGTTTCTGTTAGTTTCCGGCCGCCATGTTGGTGCCCATACGGATGGGCACCAGCATGGCGTC